AGTACATTTATGTTTTGGGAGTAAATAGTATTAGTGCTAAATATTTCTACATTGCTAACTTTTAGTATTGCTTGAGCAAAGTGTTACAGGTCTCATTGTCACCACTGAAATTAACCCACAGTGGTGGAAGCAAAACCTGTCATCCTTTCAGCCACAACTGCTTGTCTGGACACCGTGATCAGCTGTGCCCACTTTCACAGACTGAGGCTGCAACGGAGGCTTTTCATGCAACAAAATCAACAGGCTTTTTCTGAAATAACACACTATGTTTTTCGGAACAAGTCTGCATAGAAAGGGAAGGGCTAAGCAAATGGTGTTGTCCTCCTCCATAAGTCCCGATACGAACATCCTGGTTTCTCCCCTCCCTTCCGCTTCCCACGAGCCAGATTAGGCATTCCGTCAGATCTGTTTTGCTACCCGAGGCTAGTGCACGCAGCATTCAGGGTCAAGGGTAACGTTCCCATGGCCTACTACCTTTCCACCACATGCGTCTTACCCAGGTATGCAGCTATTGCTGTTTGCCTTTCCTGTGATGCCCATGTTCTGTTACAGCATTTGCCCGTTTATTTCCCTGATGACGATAGCACCTTGGCATTCTGAGAAGGTCCTGTGCTAAGAAACCGGCTTTAAAACTCACCAGAGATTCTTGTAGCAAATTAATTTTCACTAACAAACGACTGGGATTGGAAAAGAATGCTTCCAGCTAATCCTAGGAAGAATGAACCACATAAAAGATTACCAGAGAAAAATCTGTAGGTATTTCACAGATTTACCAAAGCACAGTTGCAATAAGCGTTGTTAATGTTCTGTAAACTCTCTGAACATAATCCTGTAAGATACTCAGGGGAGCCAGCGTCCTTGAAAGCAATATAATTACTCAGAACTCCCATGGAAGCCCAGCCCTCTTGACAAAGACATACTTTATCTGTTTCCCTTGCAGTTTCCTGTAACCTGGCTGTCTTCTACCACGATCCCATTCATGACAATGTCAACTGCCTTCATATTCACTGCCCTACACTAGAGAGCTGCATATTACAGCCTGGGACCAGTGCCATTTTGTACAACATAACAGAAGGTAACAACTTCCGAGACCTGTTGGTAATACTGCTGTAGGGGCATACAGCCCACCAGCTGACTGGTGGTAGACATAAGTGAAAGGCATACACTTCAAAAAGTTCATGGAGAAAATGAGATTGAAAGATAGTAAGATTTCTTCATGAATGTACTGAAGCCTACTCATATGAATTGCTGTTTCCATTGAGTTCAGTCTTTGAAAGATTGGGCACCTGGGACAGAAAACAAGGAAGAAACGCACGTTCGTTTGGTGTGTTCAACCAGGAAGAGCAGATTATTCCACTATCCCATGTGACGATAAGCCAGAACCACTGGCTAAGAGCTGAAGCAGTATATTCCATTTATACTCAGTGCCCTCCGCAAGAGTCCAGGTCCGCATTTCTACTGCAGCGGTTGGTGGTGCTATGAGGAGATGGAGAAAATGCTCGGCGGCAGTTTTGCAGACCATGAACATGACACACAGGGACGCTACAAAGATGGACATTAGGCCTGAGGAGCTTTGTTACTACTCGTTGGCAAACATCACCATGGTCACTGGTCCCATGATAACCAGTGTGCTTTAAGGATTAAAAAAAAAAAAGGTATTCTTTATCTGGGTAGATAATTTCAGGCTGTAAATCAGTTATCAAAACAGGTGCTTGTTACCAAAATATAAAGGAGCAACATTTATCAATGTTTTACCCATCCAATACCTCATGCTACTGGCTGTGCTCAGCATTGGAGATCTTTGGAGCCATGGCAAGGCCTTCAAGTTCTGTAGAGTCCAGTTGATGTGAAAGTTTGTCGTGTAAGACATAGTTTCAAAATGTGATATGTCTCCTTGGACATGCCCTCACAGAAGGGTCACAAGGAAGGGATGAGCCAGTCAAGGTATAGTATAGCACTGACGAAACATACAACATCCCTCTAGTTCTTTAATGCTTCCTCCTCACACTATCATGACCCCAGTTCTACCTTACAGATATGGCTAGACCGGAGCATGTACACTGGTACAGATAGGAGCTCTCAACACACAGATTCCAGGTCAGATAACCCCCTCAGGAACAATAATGGGAGTAACGATACCATGAGGGTAGGGGAAAGGTGAGGAGAGAAAGAGGGAACGATTGCAATGATTGACGTATAACAACGCCCCCCCCCCCCCACCGAGGGTGATGAACAGCAGAAACATGGGTGAAGGGAGACAGCAGACAGTGTAAGATATGAAAATAATAATAATTTAGAATTATCAAGGGTTCATAAGGGTTGGAAGGTGGGGGAGGAGGGTAAAAAAGGAGGAGCTGATACCAAGGGCTCTAGTAGAAAGAAAATCTTTTGAAAAAGATGATGGCAACATATGTACAAATGTGCTTGACACAATGGATGTATGAATTGTTATAAGAGCTGGAAGAGCCCCGAATAAAAGATAATAATGTGTTTTTAAATGTGATACTCTCAAGTACAATGTTCAAAAGAGGAGATTAATGCAAGCTGAATTATTCATAGGAGACTTCATGAAAATGGTAAAGTAAGGGATTCTGTATCAAGCCAGGAGAAAGAACTTGTTTGACTACAATAGGATACATTTTACCTTGGAACAAAAAAATATGGTCAAGCTAGGGAGGGCCAGATAACAAAGGAGCATACATTTTGGTTAGACTTTGGCAGTGGTATTGAATGAGAAAATTCCATCATTGAAGTAATATGACTCTGGTTATTCAATCTAGAAAAAGTATATGCAGGGTGTAAGAGACAGGTCTGGACAAGATGAGGATAATGGCAATGGAGAGAAGGGATGATTACCAAAGACTGAGGAGGGAGATCAGATAGAACGTGGCTGCTCTTTGGATGAATGAAGTAGGGGTCGGTGGGTATATTCATTAAAAAACAAAGCTTGCTGAAGTTTCCAGCTAGGTGATGGAAGAGTGACATCAAGAGGCAGACCAAACGACTGGCTTCGGGCAGACTGAGTTAGAGGTAACTGGAGCACCCAGGGAGCACCTCCACGAGGCCAGAGCAGAAACCGGTATCAGCGCTCAAGAAAGAGGAGACAACGGGTGCCATCAATGTCGCGGGGACAGCTGATGTGGCGATCACTCTGAGGAGGATGTAAGAGAACAGATAACACAAAGACTAAGGACTGAAGACTCTGGAAGGCTCACAAGTAAGGGTCACAGTAAGAAGAGAGCCAGCAAAAGAGAGACAGGAAGTCAGGTCCGAGAGTCGTGGCGAAGAGCTTCGAGAAGGGCCGCAAGATGGGGGTCGGGAAGCAGGGAGTGAGCACACTGGGCCTCCTCAGGAGCACACTTTTGGCCAAGGATTGAGGGTGGAAGCAGCTTATAGAAGGTAAAATTAAAAAGGCGATTTGACCATGGTGGGGCAGGGGTGCTCTAAAATTGATGTGGGGTGACTGTACAATTCTCTGTGACATGACTGAAGGATTGAACTATTGAATTGTATGATATGTAAATTACTTGTCAATAAAAACTGTTGGGGAGGAAAAGCCTTATGTCAGAAAAACCTAAATTGCCTGAAGTTTCCAAAATTAATCATCTCGTGAATAAATGGATTTGTTATTCAAAAGAAAGAAAGTGGAGGATCGCTTCCCAGCCTTTGGGCTAAGATCAAGTGTAGCAAGTAAATGGATGTTGGTACCTTTGGCCAAAAAGGGAGAGAGAGAAGACAGTGGAGGGGCGGAGCGGCAGCTGCAGCGTGATTGCCACAGGCACACTGGAAGGCTGGTGAGGTGCTTTCTTTTGAAGACAAAGCATCTGAATTAAGGACATAGGCCTTTAAAGCTTGGCTCATGATTGTGAACACAGGTACACCTCTCAAGCGCCGTGTTGTTTAGTTTTATAAAACATGCTACATGGTGCATCAGGTGGGTAGCGTATCTAGGGCTCTTACACTCAGACTGACTGGTGTTGTGATGGACACAGAGCAGTCTCCTGGATTTTTCTTTTTTTTTTCTGAAACAGGAAGTGTCCTACAAATTTAAGGTAAAGTCAATAACCGGCCATAGTTCAGCCTCTCAGAAGCAGGCAATGATAAAACAAAACAAAACCCTCTTGCCACTAGGTCGATTCCAACTCTTGACAAACTCATGAAAAGAGACTTGCATGGGTCTCTTTGAAAAATTGTGTTTTAGGTAGAAATGTACATAGCAAATTAGGTTCCTGTCAGGACATTTTTACACGAATTGTCCCATGACATTGGCTACAGTTTTCACAATGTTTCAGCATGCTCCAGAGGGGCTTCTTGGTTGGAAGAGACCACCATTTCTTTTTTCAACAGTGGTGTTGAGTGGGTTTCAACTGCCAACCTTTAAGATACCAGACGAACACCGACTATTTCAAGCTAAAACAGTAAGTTAGCCAGTATGCTTCTAAGCCTCATGGAAGCAAGCGCTGAGAGCAGTTGAAATTAACTTAGTTTGGTATCTCACAATGGCAAAGCTCAAGACTTCTTCAAATTGTGCTTTAAAAGTCCCCTCTTGGAGATCAACACAACAATAACAACACATTAAAAACAAAAACAATTGTTGGGCAGATTGGGGGGGAAACAGGAAGCTAATAACAATGGGTACAAGAAAGAAGAAAATGTTCCAAAATGGGTTGTGGGGATGATTGCACAACTCTTTTTCATAAATCTTGAACTATTGAAGTGTATGATAGGTGACTGACAGGACAATAAAACTGTTAAAAACAAACTAATGATGCTTTCTTTATTTTTCAGGTATCGATCCGGATTTACTCATCTTTGAACAATCACCTCCCAATTATCTAAATACTCGTTCTTCATCTAATAGGTGGGCCAGGCTACGGATTCAAAAAGCTATGAGCTTAGATCAACAACACACCACAATGGTAAACCCAGTCTCCCTAACCACACATCAAGATCTGGCTGTCAACACAAACAGGACCAGTTATTCCAAGGAGTTAACCACAGATTCCTGGGCCAGATTCATTTCCATGAATGACTCCATTACCGCAAAGGTACATATGGTGTCACCACATTTTGATTTCATCAACAAGCCAGATAACAAGACCTTTTCTCCTTTCTTTGTGCCCGTAAAAACAAAACCTTCTCAGATGCCTGCTCCATCCCGACTCAATAGTAGCAAACAGTTTCTGAACAAAACCAAGGGCTACAGCGCCAGAAACCATACATCTGAGACCAAACACAAGACACCTGATGTGGCTTATGCCACTTCAAAGCCGTGGCTGGTTCCAGTAGCACTCTGTACCTCTGTCATCTTGCTTTGCTGTTGCTTAGTGACCTTGGTATCTCGGTGTTGTCGGAAGCAGCAGGGTCAGTATAAGCCGGGACGGAGAAAGCCAGGACCGGGGAAATTAAAAAGTGCAACACTCTGAAGCAGAGCTCTTAAGAGTGCACGTTGTGGAGAGGTTGGACACTTTTGAGAGTATTGTTTTTAGTCTTCTGTAAGATAAAGGCAATTTGAGTTTTAAAATAATTTTATAGGATCATTTTCCGACTCCTATTAATTTCTAGAAATCAGTGCTTGATAAACCTAAATGCCTTTTTAATTAATCCCATTTCTTGAGTGCTAAACTCTTTGCCAACATTCCAGAATGCTGACCTGTTAGGATTTAGCCTCCCATGAGAGCTATAGTACTAAGTGCTTTACATATAGGAACTCATTGAATTCCTACAAATCTGAGTTAGGTACACTATTATGAACCTTTATAGTGCTAACTTTTTAATTATAAAGATGAAGAAACTGAGGCAAAGAGGTCAAGCATCTTGTCTAAACTCTAGTCAGTAGTGGAATCTGGACTTACACCCAGGCTGGCTCAAAAACCCAGACTTGAAACCACTGCTTATACTAAACACCTGTTTTTCCAGTAAGCATGAAGAGAAGATAGAGGGCAATGCTATAACATAATTAGATTTGTTTCCCCGTCAAGTTCAACCTATGTTTTAAAGAAGCTCTTTAGTTGTTAAAGCAAAAAAGAAATATTACCGAATACTCGCTGACAAATACCTTCAATGTTTTATGTAGTTTTCTATGTTCAAATAAGCAATCCTCCTCACCTCTAATCCATCAACATCATTTTCTACAGCTGAGACGCACTGCAGTAATTGTAGTGAGCTCTTGGAGTGTTCTGTTGAATAAAGTTGGAAAGTTTTCATTTTTACGCCTCAAATGTATCCATCATTTCCCCACAAGTAAATACTGTTGTATGCCCTCAAATCAGTTCTGAATGGTGGCCCTGTAGGACAGGGTAAAACTGCACCCAGGGCTTCCCAGATCTGTTATCCAACATGCCATGAGACTTCTCCCAAAGACTGAAATGTAAGAAACAAACTCGTTCCTAATTATCTTAAATTTTAGGCCCTTAAACTTTCTTCCCCCCTCTAAATATTTTACTACTTTTTTCCTTTTAATCCAGGACTAAAAGATTTTTTGTGTTTACACTGCACTAGTGATGTAGTGGTTACAAGTTGGGCTACTAGCCACAAGGTCAACAGTTCGAAACCACTTGTGGCTCCATGAGAAAAAGATGAGGCTTTCTATGCCTGTAAAGAACTAACAACCTCAGAAACCCCCAGGGGCAGTTCTACCCTGTCCTATAGGGTCATCTGAGTCAGTTAGTTTGAATTGGCCTTACTGAAGAAAAAAACTCTAATTAATTCGACTTCTTTCCCAGTATGTTATAAGGGATTAAAAACAAACAAACAAACATCCCAACTTTCTATTTAGAGAGAGGGTATCAATCACTAAATTATCCTAAAGTTTTCTTTAAATAAATCAGGATGCAGCCTTCAAAAACTTGGTACTTTCTCTTAAAAACATATACTCTTTAGAATATCTTGAGTTTGTTTAAATGACACCCAACCAACTCAGGGTGCTACAAAAGCTTTTCTTCAGAGTTTGTTTGTTTGCTCGTTTCCTAAGAGTTGTTAAGCTTTCATAGAAAAGGTCATAGTTTGAGAAAGGCAAATTTACTTTGTAATGAAACAAGCGCCTATCCCCTTCTCATCCTCAGCCTGTACTTTTTTAACCACCAGTCCAGGGCACAAACAAGGGCGGCTAGAAAACATGTTCTTCCTAGAAGTCAAAGGAACCCAAGG